AGTGCAAAAAGAATATGGCAATGTTGACGAAATTTTTAAAAAGGTAATCTTTTATTTTTTACTCAAATTTTAAACTACGGTCAAATCTGAATATAACGAACCTTTTATAATAAATCTATTTTTTTAAAAAACTTCATTATAGAGCTCGGTATAGTATCATAGTAATTACTCTAAAAAATTTTTACTACTGTATAAGAATTATCAGAATTTAGTAAAAATGAGTTTGAAGTATTTTTTTCATGAAGTAATTGTGATAAATATTTATTAAGCAATTCTTTAATGAAATTTGAAAATTTGACATTAAATAACAATAATAGTAATTTATTGCCCATGGATATAGGCTCAGAAGTATCATCAGATTATCAAGAAAGTTCCTCTAGCAGAGGTCAAAAACATGGTAGAGGAAGGTTACATAGACCCAAAGCAAGTAGAAATAATCATGATAGTAATACTTTTACAAAAAAAGCTAGTCAACAAATAAATACTCAAGAATCATCAAACTTTGTACCTTTACAATACGAGCATTCATTTTGTGAAAACAGATATCCTATACTTCCTAGCCATTTTCATTTAATTAAAAAAATTACACCATTAATGTTATTTTATGAGTTCTTTACAGTTGATTCTCTTAAGCAAATAGTTAAATCAACCAACAAATACTATGCTATTCAAAATTCAGCAGGCACAGAGCGACCATGAAAAACTCCAAATATTAATGAACTTCATATTTGGTTTGCTATTGTTATATATATAGGCACTCATAGAATTTTATTCCATGAGTTCCTTTGGAATAAAAATAATCAAAAACCAATACATCATATTGCAGATCTAATGACATTAATGAGATTTAAGCAAATAAAGCGTTATCTTCATATATCTGATCCTGATGGACCTCATCCATTATGGTATTTAAAAATCAAACCTCTTGTATTATCTATTCAAAAAATATGCAAAAGGTTATATATACCAAATACGAATATATCTATAGAAAAAATGATTGTACGTTTTTCAGGAAAAAGTGCACATACTGTATATATAAAAAATAAACCTACTCCTGAAGGGTACAAAATTTTATCTTTATATAACTTAGGATATATATGAACATTTTCTTTTTCATTACATATTGAGAAAGCAACAAATTTATCTAACATTCAAGGTATTAATAAAATAAACCATTATGTTTGTTATTTAGCTTTTTAACTCCTACTTGCAATGCATAGTTTTGTAATATATATAGATAATTTTTTTACATCAATTCCATTATTTCAATATCTATGGACTAAAGGTATTGGTGCATGTAGAACAGTTTGTACAAACTCTGCAAAATTCCCAACTAAATTAAAAGTACAAAATATTAAATCTTTAGAATAGAATTTATTATTAGGAGTGGTTGTAAATGATATACTAGCTGTACTTTAGATCGATAATGGTCCAGTTACTATGCTAAGTACTGTCTATAAAATTACTGGTGATGAATATCGGGTTCAACGTTTATATCAGCGTCCATGTGAAACTAGCTCAAATGCTAAAAAAGTTTGAGAAATTTATGGCAATTCTTCACGAAAACAATTATTAATTTCTAAAATTGTTAACAATTATAATCACTATATGGGAGGCATTGATATTGCAGACTAGCGACGTTCATATTATCTTCTCCAACTTACAACTCGTCAAAACTGGCCTCTCTTATTTTTTTGGTTACTTGATACATCAATTGTTAATGCTTATCTGATATATCTAAAATTAAGTTCCATACATCGTACTACACATCTTAGTAGTAAGGAATTTCTTAATCATCTTATTTGGGAATTTAGAGAAGATGCATCATATGATTCTAACTCACAGCAATCAAGTAGTCAACGTAGTAAACTTCCTATCCCAAAAGGGTGTTTAGTACATGTCACTGAAAACTATGAACTCCCTGCATGCCGTTGAATTCTTGGAAACCATTTCTTAAAATGGAGAGATATCTGGAGACATGCATTTGGTGTTGTTATCTTGAAAAAGAAGAAAGAAATAAAAACCCTTCTCAAACAAACTTTTGGTGTCAAAAAATGCAATGTTCTATTATGCTGCAACAAAGCAAGACCACACTGCAACTATGAGTTTCACACACATATATAATGAATAGTATTGATAACGATAAAGTTGTTCTGTATTTGACATATTAATATTCATTAGTAAAACTTCGTCTTATTAACTGCGTAGTTATTTTGCATACCGTATTTTCGCGTAATAACGCCCACCTGCGCATTATTTTGAGTATATGCGCATTATTTAGAATACACACATAGGCATTATTTTAAAACAAGGGTTGATTTTCTGGTAACTTGTAGACTAAAATATCCAGTGAAGTTAACCAATTATATCTAGAAGGATATTTTTGATGAAATCATTAAAGAAATGTATAAACTGTATAATGAAGAAATTTTGAAAAGCAATTATTACAATTCAATTCTTGATACCTTAGAACAATTTCTGGTAAAAAAATTCGATCCTATAGTTCAATTCATT